CACTTTTCCGGACATGGGTCCCTATACTCAAATGTTTTCTACTGTTGCACTGAATAACCCCTAGAAGTTTGATCCCATAGTTCTGAAACACCCTGTATAATTGTATATAATTTGACATAATAAAAAAAAGAAATAAAAGAACAAATTAGCAATATAAATTAGGTAGACGCTTCATGTAATTGAATAAATATACGTTTAATATATATATATATACTCGTTGTCCCACTTAGTTAATTACCTTGTATAAATGTAAAATTACGCTAAGAAATATCACATAAAAATAAATTTTTTAAATTAATATCGAGCATAACTATGTGTCAGTAATATTGGGCATGTCCAAACGTGATTATCTTATGTTACGCGGTAGAAATTGACGCGATAAGAAAAGTCACACACTCAGTATATTTTTCAGTAAATTTGACTTAAATTTTTATTTTTATAACAATATATTTATTTCTATAACATATTTCTATAACATATTTATTTCTATAATATATTTACAACAGCTTATATACACCACATATATAAATGGATTTAATCAAATGTAATTGAAGCGTCTGTCTAATGTATCAATAATTGGTTTGTTTATAATTGTCGTTTGATAATCGCTGGTTAATATGTATATTGAGAATTTTTGTATTAAGCTTTTGTATTTACAGTGCAATACGGAGGCGGAATTGTAAATGCTGCGCAAGAAAATAGTACACAAGAAGATGGCACCGACAACGATCGCAGCGACGTCGAGCGTTACAACGGCAGCACCAGTGCTACTCCCGCCACCTCCGATAGCGCTGCCGAGAGAAGCAACAGCGACGACATCACCGCCGAGCGTTACACCGGCAGTGCTACTCCCGCCACCCCCGACAGTGTTGCCGATGACGAGAGAAGCGAACAGATCGGTGAAAATAATAATAATTATATGTTTAATGTATTGTATTACGGACGGAAAACGCGCGTAGATTTAAGAAATTCGGGGTAATAGAGAGAGAGGCGACAATTGAGATCCGTGAAATTCAGCCTGGTGCTGAAATAGTAGAATGGGTGGAGGGTGCATTTCGCGAAATTCACAGATACGCGACAAATTGATCGGAGCCGAATGATTACGTTGGGGTGTGGTTCGACTTTCCGACTTTGACCAACGGTGCAGCGGGTCTTTCTTTTCGTCTTGCGCGTGACTTGACTCNCGAGAATATTTGGTCTCTCGTGAGTTCGGTTGCGCAAAGTAACGGAGGGATAGACATCGCTACGTCGTTTACGATACGCGTATGCACCGTCCACTCTCCGTCGGGCAAAGGAGGCCGTCTTTCGGGCGCGGAAGGAATCGAGAAACGCTCGATTCTTTCAATAACAAATAGCGACAACCTCTGTTTCCCTCGCTCACTCGTTGCCGCTCGGGTATACCTCGAACGAGGTAACACCAGCACGGGCGAGCTACGTGAGCGATGGAATGCAATGAGACGTTCGAACTCCTCCTTACAACGCCAATGGGCACAGGAGTTGGTGGAGAGAGCAGGCGTCACAATTCCGGAGGAGGGTTGTGGTATCGGGGAAATTGAGCGATTTCAACGGTACCTTGCCGGGGAGGGGTTAGCTATAATTGTTTACGCCTTGTCTACTTTCGCGTCAGGCGGAAAACCGTTGTACGACGGTGGTGCGTTGCTCGCCTCTCTCAGACGCGACTCCTTGCTACGTTCAAATATTCTTTATTGCGAGAGTTCGCGTCACTATTGCCCGATTTTAAATTTAAGAGCGGCGGCGGGGAGCAGGGGATATTGCATTCCTTGCAACCTACCTTATTGTTCCGAACGAGGAGTTCATNGATGCTCGCATAAATGTCCGCGTTGTCGCGGTGTGCCGTCGTGCGAAACAGAAGAAGTAGAATTAATTCGATGCGAGCAATGTAAAAGAATGTTTTACGGGCGCGAATGTTTCGAGCGTCACCGAACCGAAAAATTGTACGGAGACGGTCGCGTGAGCGTGTGCAGCGCTTTGCAATTTTGTAACGATTGCGGGCGTTTGTACAGAACAGCGGGTGCGAAGCACGAATGCGGCGTCGTGTTTTGTAACATTTGCAGTTNGCGTCAAGATGTAAACCATCTTTGTTATATCCGACCTCTTACACGCGAGGATTTCACCGGCAAAAGGAAAAACGCGCGCGTCGCATTCGTGCTTTACGATTTTGAGACCCGCCAGGATGAGACGCTCGAAGGTACAGCGTCTGTGAAAATTTACGTGCCCACTCTTTGCGTCGCACAGCAGATTTCCGTCGCGTGTGCGGGCGAGGACGACATGACGGTACGTTGCCGGTGGTGCGGTGTGCCCGAATTCGTGTTCCGCGATGATCCGGTGAGGCAATTCGTCGATTTTGTTACGAGAACGACGAAATGTTTCAAGCAGATTATNTGCATCGCGCACAACGCCAAGGCGTTCGACGCGCAGTTCATCCTTCGTTACATCACGGAAAAACGTGTCGATTTGGATCCACGAGTAATATTAAACGGAACGAAGATCGTCGTATTAACGGCCGGGCGTACGAAATTTATTGACAGTATTACCTATATGCCGATGCGCTTGTCAGCTCTGCCGAAGGCTTTCGGTTTGAGGGGTGGGGTGGAAAAGGGATATTTTCCGCATTTATTTAACACACTCGCGAATCAGTCGTACGTCGGTCCGTTACCACCCGTTAAATATTACTCGCCGGATAGTATATCTAGCGAAGAACGCGAACGTTTTTTGTTGTGGCACTCGGAATAGATGCGCGAAAACGCAGTTTTAAACTTTCAACGCGAGATAGTTCGTTATTGTCGTAACGACGTTTATATCTTGCGGCGAGCGTGCATGGCCTTCCGCAAGATATTTCTCGAACGCGGAAACGTATGTCCGTTCGAAGAATGCACGACCATCGCTTCCACATGTATGCGCGGTTTCCGCAAAAACTTTTTACGTGAGGAAGAGATCGGCGTCATTCCTCGCGGCGGATATTGCCTCGCGGATACACAATCCCGCAAAGCTCTGCAGTGGCTGGTGTGGAAGGAGCGCGAGCTCGGCCGCATCATTGTTCACGCGGGTCACGGGCGAAACCATCGTCTCGCGGAAGTCGGAGGCATTCCCGTCGACGGGTATTACGAGACGACGAACGGTGAGCGTCACGTGTTGCAATACCACGGCTGCTTTTGGCACGGATGTCCCGTGTGTTTTAAAACGGAACGCGACAAACATCTCTGCACGGGGGAATGCGAAGTGTACGACACGATGAACTCGCGATACGAGCGTACACTGACAACGTCATGGCGTCTTCGCAAACGAGAGTACATCGTGACGGAGAAATGGGAGTGCGCTTTTGATCGCGATACGCGGGAAAATTGCGAAATGCGAGCGTTTTTAGACCAACATCCGATGCTCGCGGCTGAACCGCTTTCACCGCGTGACGCGTTTTTAGGCGGTCAAACGGGAAACATCGCGATTCGGCGCAAAGTTACGGGTACGGAAAAAATACGTTACGTAGACGTGTGATCTCTATATCCTTACGTGTCGAAAACTGGCGCTTTCCCGATTGGACATCCAAAAATTCTTGTCGGACAAAAAGAGTGCGCCTCACTCATCGGAGCGATGCCCGGTGTCGATTTTTCCGCGGTCGAAGAGCTTGTGCGTTGTAGAGTGCTTCCTCCGCGCAATCTCTTTTACCCTGTACTCCCGTACCACGTGCAGGGCAAACTACTGTTTGCCTTGTGCCGCAGTTGCTGCGAAAACTTCTCGCAGACAGTGCTTGCACGAAAATCTGCGTGATCGTGAATTCGAAGGCGTGTGGGTATCGTGTGAATTACGCAAAGCTGTGGAGAAGGGTTATCTCGTGACTGCAGTGAGCGAGATATGGCAATACGAGACGAGCCGATAAGACGCTGATACGCGTCACGGGGGATTATTTGTCGAATACATAAACTTTTTTCTGAAATTGAAGCAAGAGGCGAGCGGATGGCCGAGCGAATGCGTAGACGACCAATCTAAAGAACGATATCTTCGAGAATACAAAGCAGTCGAGAGTATCGCTCTAGATAGAGCAAACATTGCGCAAAATTCAGGTTTACGCTCGGTTGCAAAGCTGTGCCTCAATTCGTTTTGGGGAAAATTCGGGCAACGGTCGAACTTGACGAGTACCGAAGTGGTAAAGTCGCAAGAACGTCTCGTATCGCTATTGTCGAGCCCCGAGCACGAGGTAACCGATACTACATGGGCTGAAAAGTCCCGGGATTTTTCAATAGGTGACGCCACTAGAAAATTAACATAATTTATTTCGAGAGGTTAATTTGTCACTAGTTTATGTGTAAAGTTTCATGACATTTCGTTCATTCGTTTACACGCTACAGTCGTTTAAACGTCTCTACTTTCGCCTTCATAAAGAAAATGGAAATACAGGAATATCGCATCTTGATCAAACATTGTTTTTTGATGAGAAAAACTCCTAAACAATCAATGGAATGGTTGAAGAAATGTTATCCCACATCTGCTCCTTCGAGAACAACAGTTTATCGGTGGTTTAGTGAATTCAAAATGGGTCGTACAAGCACCGAAGACGCACCTCGCTCTGGAAGGCCAAAAGAGGCTACGAATTCGGAAATCGTAAAGCAAGTGCATCGAATCGTTTTGAGTGATCGGAAAGTGAAGTTGCTCGAGTTAGCTGAGGCCGTTGGCATCTCAAAAGAACGGGTGGGATATATTTTGCACGATGTTTTAGACATGAAAAAACTATCCGCGCGATGGGTGCCGCGTTTGCTGACCGTCGACCAAAAACAGCAGCGCGTTGATGATTCAACGGCCGGTTTGGCGTTGTTGCAGCGTAATCGAGCGGACTTTTTTCGACGTTTTGTGACGATGGATGAAACGTGGATCCATTACCATACGCCTGAGTCTAATAGGCAGTCTGCAGAGTGGCTGAAAAGCCACGAAAGCCGACCAAAGCGGCCAAAAGATCAACGCTCGGCCGGGAAGGTTTTGGCCTCCGTTTTTTGGGATGCGCATGGCATAATCTTCATCGATTACTTGCAGAAGGGAAGAACAGTTACCGGAGAGTATTATGCAGCGTTATTGGACAAACTGAACGACGAAATAAAGAAAAAACGGCCCCATATGGCGAAGAAAACCGTTCTGTACCATCAGGATAACGCACCGTCACACACGTCCTTGAAAGCGATGGCCAAATTAGACCAATTACGATTCGCATTGGTTGCTCACCCACCGTATTCTCCAGACTTGGCTCCCAGCGACTATTATCTGTTTCCAAACCTCAAGCGGTGGCTCCAGGGAAAGAGATTCACATCGAATGAGGAAGTCATCGCGGAAACCGAGGCGTATTTCGAAGGCTTGGACGTTTCGTACTACAGAAAAGGCATCCACATGTTAGAAAATCGCTATACCAAGTGTATTGCCTTCGAAGGCAACTATGTTGAAGAATGAATACAACTTTGCCCAAAAAACGCTTGTTTTCATTAAAAATCCCGGGACTTTTCAGCCCATGTAGTATATTACCTGTGAATGACGAGGTAATATATGTTTCGTGGCGAATGCGGGACGAGGCGGACGTACCCTCTCCGATTACCAACGTGATAATAGCAGCGTACACGACGGCACATGCGCGATTGAAACTGTACAAATATTTAGAACGTTTAGGCGAGCGCGTTCTTTATTACGATACAGATTCGTGTATTTATGTGAGCAGCGGAGAACTCGGCGAATACGAACCGCGTACGGGAAATTTTTTGGGCGATATGACGGACGAGCTCGAAGGCTACGGCCGTGGTAGTTACATTGAGTCGGTTGTATCCGGTGGCCCGAAAGTTTACGCGTACGTAGTTCGTACTCCGGACGGTGGCGCGCGGGAGGTGTGTAAAATCAAGGGAATAACTCTCAATTCCGCAANCTCCCGCATAATTAATTTCAAAAGCGTTAGGGAAATGTTAATGAGAAGAGAGAGAAAAGAAGAAAATGTGTCAATAAATCTGCATTTTAGAGCGATTTGTTGCACCGCGTTTCACGAAGTTGTGACGCGGGACGAATAAAAAATCTACTCGCCGGTTTTGCTGAAGCGTAGATTTATCGACGAGCTACGCTCCGTTCCATACGGCTACTTAGAATAAGACTTTTTTCCGCACATTCTCTTGTAAATAGTTTGTATATTTTAAACGTAAGAGTTAAAATTGTATATATATGTATATGTTTTCCGTCCAAATAAGTCATAATGTAAGCAAGCGCTTTGTACAATAAAAGAAAAATATATAAGTTATTTTAACAATTGTGTGTAAAAATAAGATTATAAAATGCGAGATTTTATGTAAATGTTAGTAGATTAAGCAATATGTACACATTTTGTAAAACGTAATATTTTAGTATTATTAAATTGTTATATTAAAAACAAAATTAAAAGCTTGCTTTTTCCCGATCTCTTTTATCCTTAGAAATTTTTTGATATAACCTCAACAAAAAGCTATAAGCTTATATTCGCGCGCGCGTTTGACGAGGTTGTCTTTGCGCGCGCGACAATAAGCTGATTTTTTATGAAAACAGCTTTTCACTCATTCGGAATAAGCTCACCGTTGCCGCGACGAAAATTAGCTGATTTTCGCGGCAAACCGCGACCGCCGCGGGGCCCAACGCGCGATGTTGAGCTCATCGTCGCAAACCAAAAAACAGTTTAAGTTAAGAGTTACATACAAGCGGCAAGTTGCACAGTCGTCAAAATAGACGTGCGCTGAAAATATCCCTGGACGTCGATCGTTTGTGGTCCTACGGGATGCGGGAAAACAATTTTTGTAAAGACTTTTCTCCGTTATTTGCCGAAAATGGCGAATATTCAATTCGGGAGAATTCTATTTTATTACGGCAAGTGGCAAGAAGCCTATCTCGAGTTGCAACGCGAGATAAAAAAATGTAAAATCAAATTTTGGGAATGACTACCTCGCCCGGAAGATTACTCGAACGATCCGCTTTGTGCGAAATTAATAATAATCGACGATCTTATGCGAGAATCGTCGTTGTGCGAAGTGATCTTGATTTGTTTACCAAGG